AAATGGCCTAAAGTTGAGAAAAAATAAGAAATTTTCTATACTTAGAAAAATTTCTAAGTTAAGAAAATTTTCAATTTTAAACCATAATCTTCAATCCTTGATTTCTTGATGAACAATTTTCACATTTTTTGATAAATTGTGACCCTTGGCACTTGATTTTGACCAAAAGTCAAAGTTTGACTTTTTAGTGTACAATTGACTTTTGATCAGTTGACTGCAAATTTCATCTGTCTATCAATGAAATTGAAATGTTTTGAACCATATAATTAGATCAAGATGATGCCACTGTATCCTTGGAATCATGCTTTAACTCAATTGGTCATTTTCTAGGTCAAAAATCAGAAATTGCCCTTCCTTAGTCAAAACCCTAATTTTGACCATTTTGCCCTTTTGATGATTTGATCAAATTTCTTGAGGAATTATGATCCAAACTTGATCAAGTGATACATATGAGTCTAGAGTGTTGATGTGGATAAAAAATTATGAAGTTTGACTGTAAATTGGCCATGGTTAACTTTTCCCCCAATACAACTGATTTTTAGGTCAACTGTCCAATTGACTGATAAAAAATGTGGTTCAAGGCTTGAAACTTATCATGAGTAATCTTAGGGGTCCATAATGATGTTTGAAAGTCATATGAAGCATTGATAGTCCAAAAATCCTTGTGCAAACTCAAACCCTAATTTTGGGTTATCAATACAAGATGAGATGTCTTGAGCTGACCAAACCCTAATCTAGTCTTGAGTCAAAGAGATCTTGTGAGAAAAGTTTTGATAAATAAGAGGGCAAATTTTGGGGTACAACACTATGCTTGGACACAAACTGCAAGTTTTGACAGTTTTTGGTGATATGGAGTTTTAGGGTGTTTCTGGCCTTTTCCAATCGTCCTCCAAGTTGTAATGTGTCTATGTATAAGTATAGAGAAGGTTTCTCATCCACTCCACAACAGATTTCTCAGCTATAGCCTTTTTGCACTCTTACTTGTTTTTTTTAAGAAAAGTGAAGGGACAAGTCTCCACATGTTTGTACTGGCCTGCTTGGAGTTGGTACAAGTCCTAGACAACTTGTATCTGGTTTATAGGACTTGTGTGTGCAGAGAAAACATGTCCAATGCTCAAGAAGTGAAAAGTTGCAAAAGTTGTGCTTTTCCAAAATGGCAATGGCAACTTTGTGCCATTTATGGAATTAAAACTTGGACAAAGACTCTTGTGCTTGGATTAAGGCTTTATCATATGTGCAAGCATTAAATTATAAAGTGAGAAACAAGTTTGAGGCCTGTAAAGCAAGGATTAGGCAGCATAGGTTCATATTTGAATTTTGTTCTTCATGAAATGGCTTGAAATTAAAGTGAGAAATTACCAACTTCATCTCTTCGATTCTCCCTACTCAAAAATGATCTCAAGGAGTTTTTGGACATTTTGGAAAGCTTGCAATGTGCTCTATAACTAATATTTGAAATGTATTTCAATATTCCTCTTGGAACTAGGTGAAAATTTCTATGAAGTTAGGTCAAAAACCTGCCTAAATTAGGGCAAATTTTCACTAAGTTATTTTAGTTCATGGGCATGTATTCACAAAATTATATCTTGAGATCCAAGCATCTTTAGGGGAAAATTTGTGAAGAAATGTTGCATATTTCATGGAGATCTACAACTTTCATGTTGGGAAATTTCTTTGAATCATCTTGTATCATGGTGGAAAATTGGCTTAAAGTTGAGAAAAATAAGAAATTTTCTATACTTAGAAAAATTTCAGTTTAAGAAAAATTCAAAATTTCAAAACCAAATCTTCAATCTTTGGTTTCTTGATGAACAAGTTTCATATTTTGACATGTTTTGATGAATTGTGGTCCTTGGTACTTGAATTTGACCAAAAAGCCAAAGTTTGACTTTTCAGTATACAGTTGACTTTTGATCAGTTGACTGCAAATTTCATATGTCAATCCAATGAAAATGCAATGTTTTGAACCATGTCACTAGGTAAAGATGATACAAATGAAACCTTGTAATCATGCTTCAAATAAATTGGTCATTTTCTAGGACAAAAATCAGAAATTGCCCTTTCTTAGTCAAAACCCTAATTTTGACCATTTTGCCCATTTGATGATTTGATCAAATTTCTTGAGGAATTATGGTCCAAACTTGATCAAATGATACATATGAGTCTATAATGTTGATATGGATAAAAAATTATGAAGTTTGACTGTAAATTGGCCACAGTTGACTTTTTCCCCAATACAACTGATTTTTAGGTCAACTGTCCAATTGACTGATCAAAAATGTGGTTTCAGGCTTGAAACTTGTCATGAGTAATCTTAGGGGTTCATAATGATGCTTGAAAGTCATATGAGGCATTTATAGTCCAAAAATCCTTGTGCAAACTCAAACCCTAATTTTGGGTCATCAGTGTAAGATGAGATGTCTTTGAGCTGATCAAACCCCAATCCAGTCTTGAGTCAAGGAGATCTTGTGAGAAAATCTTGATAAATGAGAGGGAAAATTTTGGGGTACAACACACGCCTTGATGGGGAAAGCCTTAACACGTGCGCCTTAACCATTGGGGTGGTGATACATCCATTCACTTAATCAAATCAAAGCATATATATTTTAAACCAGATCAGGATGATTGGAGAAGCGTCGGAGCCCTAGCTCCGGCAGTCTTCTCCGGTAAGCATATTTGCCAAACCTGCAAAACCAAGCATATTAGAAAGAGATAAGGACCATGTCCCCCTAAATCGACCCCCCTGAATCCAATGGTGAGGTCGTTTTGGCCTAAAAGTGGTTGTATTAGGAGTTTGGAAGCCAAACTAGGTTCACACCCTAATCATGGAAAGTCCTTGTCCCTGTGCCAAAGCTCACATATTATGCATAAAACCTTCTCTAATGATGTATATGAACACATGTAAACATGTTAAACTAGTTAATAATGCATAAATCAAAGGTTTGAATTTAAAAAAACTACCAAAATCGGTGAGTGATGTTTTGGGCACGATCTTGGCTGCTTGAGGATTGAGATGGATTCCTGGCACTTCAGGATGATAATGCAATGCTTGGTTTCAATTGAGAAGGGCTGGAAACAAGGGTTTTGTGTTGCCCTGATTTCTTGAATTTTTTGAGATTTTTGGGGTGTATATTTGGAGGCAGCATACATGTCTTATT